AAAGCTCTTCACTGACAATCTCTGCCTGGACAACTCTGTAAACCAACCAATGGGCCTGAGGGCTCCTCTTATCCCAAGCTGACACCCACCCACCCAGACGGACACAAGACACTTTCATACTTGAGACCAAACTTTTCCCAATGATAGGCAAATTTATGATCTCTCTGTCTTAGTCAGAAGGATAAAATGTTGAAAAGTGTTGAAACACCTGAAAGGTAAATTCAGAAGACAGTTGAATGAAACTGAGCAACCGAATAAAACCTGATGTTGTATATTAATTTGTCGATTGTGGGTCTTGAACTCAGCCTGGGCACTCTACCACTTGAGCCACAGCACCACTTCCAGTTTTCTGGTGGGTTAACTGGAAGTAAGAGTCTCATGGATGTTCCTGCCCAGGCTGGCTTTGAACTGGGATCTTGAGATAGATCTCAGCCTCCTGAGTAGCTAGATTACAGGTGTGAGCCACAGGTGCCAGCCTGGCTTTGAATTTCTACACTCCTGATCTCAGACTCCTGAGTAGCTATATTTATAGGTGTGGGCCTCTGGTACTTGGCTTAAAAATCCTTGTTTTTCATGCCTGAATTAAACCTTTGTCATAATCATTACTATGTTAGAATGGTAAGCTGTTTCCATTTTTCTGTGTTATAGAGAATATGGCTATGGACATAGTCACTTTTGCTCTGTGGAATTATTTCCTTTGGATAGGTTTTCAGAAGTCAGAAATACTGAATCAGTGAATATGAATACTTTTTTATATTGCTACTCAGGATGAGTATTGTTTTATATTATTTTCCTATTAATATGCTTGTATTAATTGTTTATAGTTTTTTATGGTACTGAGATTTGAAATCAAGGTCTTCCTTTTGCTAGGCAGGTGTGAGGTACTCTTTCTCCTGAGCGTCACCTCCAACTATTTTTGCTTTGGTTATTTATTTATTTATTTGCAAGTCCTGGGGTTTGAACTCAGGGTCTGGGCATTGTTCCTCAGCCTCTTTGTGTTCAAGGCTAGTGCTCTACCACTTGAGCCACAGCACCACTTCTGGTTTTTTGGTGGTTAATTGGAGATAAGAGTCTCATGGACTTTCCTGCCCAGGCTGGCTTTGAACCATTATCCTCAGATCTCAGCTTCCCGAGTAGCTAGGATTACAAGCATGTGCCACTGGTGCCCAGCTTGTTTTGGTTATTTTTGAGATAGGGTCTCAAATGTATGCCCAGGATAGTCTGGACTTTAATCCTCTTATTTGTGCCTCTTGGAGACCTAGGAAAATGTTTTGTATCTATATCTATATATCTATCTTGGAATCCAGGCTTTCAGTGGTTGAGATAGAGTTCTCAGGAGCACCCCCCCCCCCCTCCACCTTGGGCTGGCCTCAAACTATAATCCTTTCCATCCCTGCCTCCCAAGTAGCTAAGACTGCAGGCATGAACCACCATATATGGGCTTGTTTTCATTATTTTTTTCTAGTTCCCAAAGTTTTTCTTTTAAAATTGAATATAAGCTTTACCAAGTACTGTTACAATACTGCTAAACTTAATGAAATTATTTTACTTTTTTTTTTAAAGTTTCTTCCTGTACTGCATCAATATGTTAATATTTCCTCCTGGAATTTTCATTTGCAATTTAAACACTCGTTTTAGGGCCTGGTCACCTCATCCAACCTGCAGCCTCTTTGCAGACAAGGCCCTGGGGAAGAGGAAGCTCGCTGGCGATTGATGTCAGGACCCACAGAGGGAAGAGCAGCTCTGGGTCTCTGAAGGTATCCTAGGAACTAATTTCTCTTAATCAAATGGAGGGCCTGGGGAGGAGCCACAGGCAGAGGGGAAATAAATCTGAAGGGGAATACCAAATTCTGAGCGGAGTGAGAAGGACCTGCATTAAAAGAAGAAGAAGAAAACGGGCTTGGTACCTTTAGGACTTCAGAACTGGCAGGCTCCAGCTATTAATATGCAAAAAATGCCTTCATAAATACTTGATTCTGTTCACAGTGGGGAGGCAGTTCATTTGAAAGAGGAAATGGGAGCTTGGAGTTGAAACATGTCTGCTTGTCTCTTTTTCCTTTTTTCCTCGCTCTTTTCATCTCCACACTTCCCCTTGTAGTTTTCTTCCCCCCGCCCCCCTCTCTCGCCGCTTAACCCCCTCTTCCAACTCCTAGAAGTTGCTGATGGCAGCTGCTGCTCTCATTTCACTGAAGGATTCCTGACCCTCGGGTCAGGTGAGAGGGGGCGGGGATCTAAGACGTGTGTGTGGGGGTGTCTGCTCACCTTTCGCGCGTCCCAGAGGTGTGACCTGGAGACGGGACCCTCACCCTGCCCGCCCCCAGGAGGGGCGAGGACGCCGAGCGGAGGAGTTCGGTCCCGCCAGTAGGGGGCGCCCGAGGCTGCCCGCAGACCTGAGTGACCGGGAGTGACCCCGTCTGCAGAGCCGGGTCGAGCTCTCTCTCCACCACCTACATAACAGGTCAGGATCAGTTTCCCAGTTTGCTCCTGTGACTTCTTCTTACGGGGTGGTGGAGATGCCAAAATATTCCCGATTTGAGATTCTTTCCCTCTGGGCTAGCACTGTGCTAAAAACATCGTATTTCAAGTGGTAGGATGGATAATATGGCCAGACCCAAGGAGGGGGTGGGAGGGGGAGGGTGGGGGTGGGGGACAGGCAGGCCGAGTCCCTGGAGAAAGAAAGCAGGGCAGAAAAGAAGTGCTGTGGCTGATGAAAACCAATTTTGTGTGCTCTCCTTCCCTGCTTCAGGGCAGCAGAGTCCACAGCATTTTGCCAATGGCCCATCAAGGTAGGTAACTCAAGTCTGAAGGGCAGAAATTTGTTTCTAAATCCTTTCCAGATGGTTTATGGTAAACATGAAATTAGTCATTTACGTGGAGTAGGAAGTAGTTAAAATTGGAGTCAGTGATTAATCTAATAAAGGGTCATTAGCCTGGAGAAGGAAGGGGCAGGGTGAGGGAGGCTGGGAAGCACTGCACCTCCTCTCCCCTGCGTTCTCTGGTTTCAGGGGCTAGTGGGGCTTACTAGATTTTCCTTCAAATGATTTCTCTTTGCTACTCATTGTAAAGGAATTAAGACTATGTGACTTAAATGAGTCAACTGGTTCTGGTGGCTCTCTGGACCCCCATCCTGCCTTTTCCCCCTTAATTTCACAAAGGCCCATGAAGTATCAGAGTAAGCATGCTGTCCACAGCAAGACAACTCAGGATTAGAGTTTAAGGCCCAATTTCTAGGCTCTTTTGGGGTGCTAGGTTTGTCTAGGGCTTATTTTGACATTGCTGAGTCATTCATTGATTGCAGGTGATATAAAGTCTCCTCAGATGTAGCCATGGGCTTTCTGAACTTGGAGTGTTTTCAAGGTACAGGAAGCATTTGAATTGGACTGTGGATTGCCAAAATTGACTTATTACCAAAAAAAAAAAAAAAGCCTCTATGCCTGGCACCTATGGCTCATGCCTGTAGTCTTAGCTACTCAGGAGGCTGATAGCTGAGGATCTTGGTTCAAAGCCAGCCTGGGCTGGGAAGTCTGAGACTCTTATCTCCAATAACTGCTCCCCCCCCCCCTTCTAGATCTCTTATAAAGAGTCCCTTCAAAATATGCATTAAGCCAGGTGCTGGTGGCTCACGTCTGTAAGCCTAGCTACTCAAGAGACTGAGATCTGAGGATCGCGGTTGGAAGCCCTAGCAGAAAAGTCCCTGAGACTCTTATATCCAATAAACTACTCAGGAAAAGGCAGATATGGCATTGTGGCTCAAGTGGTAGAGCACTAGCCTTGAGAGAAAAACCTCAGGGACAGGGTCCAGGCCTTGAGTTCAAGCTTAGGGCCAGCACCAGAAAAACAAACACAAAAATGCATTGGAAAAACAAAAGTAGGTGTTGTTTCTGTGGTTTCTCAGTAGAGAGGGGTGGCCCAAGCTATGTTTTACATCAAAAGAGACCTGATCCAGGTTTGGGTTCTAACAGTGACAGGGCAGCTCCTGTTTTAGAACTCAGTTCAGACACCCAGATTAAAAACAACTCCATTTCTATTATAGGTTTTTTTTTTTTTGTTGTTGTTGTTCTGGTTTTTGTTGTTGTTGTTCTTGGTCGTGGGGCTTGAACTCTGGGCCTGGGCGCTGTCCCTCAGCTCTTCAGCTCAAGGCTAGCGTTCTACCACTTGAGCCACAGCACCCCTTCTGGTTTTCTGAGTGGTTTCTTGGAGATAAGAGTCTCATGAGCTGGTTTTGAACCGCAATCCTCAGCTTCCTGAGTAGCTAGGATTATAGGGATGAGCCACCGGCGCTCAGTTTCTATTATCGTTTTTAAGGAGTTCACGACAGAGAGGAAAGCTAGGCAGTGACAGGAAGTTAGAGCAAAGGGAGAATTAGTGATATAGCCTGGCCGCGGTTACACAGCACTGAGAGACCTGAGTCCCCTTAAGCCTCTAGTTGCTTTGCTTCAAGTGCTCTGAGTCTGTGGATTCAGCTCGAGGAATTTCCCCGAGATGTCTCTCTAGGGAGAATCTGGAGACAGCCTCGGAGCTACCAACGAAGGATCAAACTTATAAATATTTCTACACAGATGTCTTTGAACTACTAATAGACATTTCCAACCCATCCAGATGAAGTGTTTTCCCCTCTTCTTCTTCATGATTATTTTTGCATTTTCTCCTTGATTAGTTTTTTTCTTCTTCTTCTCCCCTTTAGTAATGAAAATACATTCTACCTCCATGGCTGATAACTTTCCTCATCCTTATATCCTTATGACTTTGCAGAAATCTAGGCCAGGCCTGCTTTGCTTCTTCATACTCACAACCCAGCAATACAGTTCCAACAGAGTTAAGAACTTCCAAGCCTAGAAGACCTCTGTGATATACTTTATAAGTAAATTCTTCTCTCCTTCTACTGATTAGGTAAATGAGGGCCAGAGAGATGTAGAATCTTACCTAGAGTCACACAGCAAACAGATAAGAACCTAAGAGTCTTGATTCCCAGCACTGCACATTCAGAGTCAATATTGTACCTGCTTCTCTGTTGTTTGGATCAAAGGTGAAGCCTCATAAAGACTCATGTGAAGATTGGTTCTGGACTCAGTGTTTGCTATGATGAAAATCAAAGAGAAAAAGGATATAGGTCATCAGATCTAGGTTTCATGAATTTTTGTATGTACTATTCACATACACACCAAATTCTCATGTATATAAGATTATAAACGCACACAAACCTATGATATTCACGTTTACTCATTGAATAACACTCATAACCTCTACAAGCATAATCTAAACATTGTGTTAAATACATTGCTATAAAAATACTTAAATTTAGGCATTTCTTGTTTTGGTTGCTTTTCAAAAAGGACAAAAGTAAGTTCTTCATGCTGTTAAAATTCAGATAAAGCTGAAATTAAAAAGGAAATATTGATGGAAAAAAAGCTGCTGATGCTGTTGAATATAAATTTTGTATGATTGCACTTCGCTGAAGTAGGAAAATGTTTCTGCAGGCAGAGAGAGAGAGAGAGAGAAAGAGAGAGGGGGGAGAGGAGAGAGATCAGAGATTTCCCTTCTCCCTTATAATGTGGAGGGGCAACAGGATGGGTGGGACCATGAAACAAAGAAGGTGTGGGAGAAAATAAATGGGCATTATGAAGCAGCCACAGGGGCACTGACATGGCATTGGCCTATGGTACTGTGACTCCGCTCTGTAGTTGTGATTAGTATTGTGCTCTGTAGGTGTGGAAGCTGGGACTCACAATATAGGCTCATTCACCCATGCTAGTCTATAAGTTCAAGATTGTTTGATTCTAAAGTACCGTGCCACTGAAGGGGGTAGGGCTTTTCAGTGTTCCTCCAAAGCAAGTAACTGTAATGTTTATAAAGGAAGGCTTATTTGAGAAACAGAGTTAGCTAAGCACATGGCTCTGGTGACAAAGATTTTAGTCTCTTCTATGGGATCAGTGCTCACATCTTTTTTTTTTTTTCTTTTTTGTCGGTTGTGGGGCTTGAACTCAGGGCCTGGGTGCTGCCCCTGAGCTTCTTTGTACTCTAGGCTAGTGCTCTACCACTTGAGCCACAGCTCCATTTCAGGCTTTTTTTTGTGGATCATTGGAGATAAGAGTCTCCTGGAGTTTCCTGCCCTATCTGGCTTCTAACAGCTATCCTCAGATCTTAGCCTCCTGAGTCGCTAGAATTACAGGTGTGAGCTGCCAATGCCCCTCTCAGTGCTCACATCTTTGTGCTTCTCAATATCTCTTTAAGAGCCCACAGCTGTGCGTGGTTCTATATTTCCTCCCCACCCCCAACCCTCACCAGGTTGTGGGGCTTGAACTCAGAGCCTGGGCTCTGTCCCTGAGTTTTTTTTTGCTCAAGGCTAGCTAGCATTCTACCACTTTAAGCCACAGATTTACTTCTGAGTTTAGGTGGTTAATTGGTGGAGATAAGAATTTCACGGGCTTTCCTTCAAAGACTGGCTTTGAATCAGAATTCTCAGATTTTGGCCTCCTGAGTAGCTAGGATTACAGGGTGAGCCACTAGTGCTTGGTTACCTTAACATTATTGAATTAGCTTGGGGGAAACTGAGGCCCAGTGAGTGGCTGGCATACAATAGGCTCACATCCAGGTCTTGAAACAGTATAGGACCAGGAACTGGCACCCAGATGTCCTGACTTTTGCTTTGTGCTGTTCCTCCACCTCACACTGCCTCCATTAGCTATGCCTGAGCTTGCCACATCACAGCTGCCTGGCTGTGATCCATCCTATGGACAAATCCAGCCCGGCAGAATTGTATTGCGATAAGGTTCACTTCACTGTGGCTTGGAAAAGAACTGTGGGTCTCTCCGAAATGAAACTTATAAATTCTAATGCATAAGGGAAGTTCTTGTAACACCAGAAGAATGAACCAGTCAGCCAGAGTTCAAGAAATGTAAACACATTTTTAGATAGGAGACTGAAAAAAAAATCACTTAGGACTTTTCATCTCTTGGGTCAAGACCTTGGTAATTTACTGAGGTCTAAACCGTCAAGGAGGAGACATGACTCTAACTGCATTCCTGGGAGATAACGCAATGGGGGTGGCCAACCTCCTTCTTGGAACAATCCAGCAAGATCTGCTCCTGCTATCAAATCAAAGAAACTGATGAACCTATTGACTGACACAGGGTCTAGTCTTTATTTAGGAGTCTTTGTACACAGACCTTACTCCATACTGCTTCTGGGCTGCTTGAAACAGGGAGCTCAGTCTTTCTGTGATGAACATTTCTGCCACGAAAGAGATAAACAGAAGACACATTCCTTCCCTGACTGCCCACCAGCAGGCCTGAGCAGATGTTCAAATGCTAGCATTAATCTAACCACAGGCTTTTAGTGAGGAGATAGGCTTTGCGGCAGATAACCAGTCGCGTTTCAGGGGTGACCCCTTCTGCAGAGGCCTCATCCCAAGCCTCTTCTGCCTTCTCCAAACCATGGGATCCTTCACCAAACACTCACAACTTGAAAAGCAGGAAAGAGCATCTGGTTCTAGAATGAAATACCGCCCCTTAAGTTTTCTTTCTATTTATATCTGTGTTGACAATGTTTAATTCCCAAATTGTTGTTTTAAGTAAAAAAAAAAAAATGAGACAGTCCGATTGATTCCCATTGTTTCAGGGTACTTATTTCTCTGGGGATGGGAAGCTCCTGGATGGGTCCCATTTGGTGCCAGAATAGAACTCTAACTAACTTCAGAGCCATGGAGCGCCTTCCTGGAGGTATGTTGGGGCTTGACAAAGAATGTGTGGCCTGGAGGCTCTGAAGTGGCCCATTCTGTGGTTACCTGGTCAGGTGCTGTGGAAAGCTCCTGGAAAGCTGTTTGGGGCTCCTCCTACTCCTCATACCCCATTTCTCAGGCTTGAGTATGCCGTGGTGGCCAGTGTGCTATCATGGAATCTACCTCTTAGCCCACAGTGTCTCATCATTGGGGAGCCATTTTATCACTGCCCAAGGATCCCAGAAAGCATCTTTGCTTCTCATACCACTGCACATAGACTTGTTGACTTCCCAGCAAAACCCAGAAAGAGACTGCCTACATGTCAGCCCTGATACCTTCAAGGTTTTATAAATTGGTCATAAATGGAAAATGCAAGGGGAAATTCCAGATTCTTAAAAAAATCCCTTTCCCATATAAAATTAACTATAAAAGGAAGTATAATTCTGGTACTGCTGACCTTTCCTTAAGAAAAAGCTAAAAATACTTTATTTTATATGGTGTGACTTAAGATGCCTATGACCTATAGAGTGTTTGCAGTGTTATAAGAAATTTCAAGTCTGCTTGTTTAATGCAAGAGGACCAAGACTCAGCTGGCCTTTTGATATTGTCATTATCAATATTTTAGGACAAGATTTAAGACTCTGTTTATGGTACACATTTTTCCTTTAATTCTGCTGGGTGGGGAGGAGAGTGAGATATCAGACAGTTGCTAGGGACCTAAGAAAGTCTCCAGAGACCAACTCCTGGGAATTCCAGTTAAAGAGTCAAGTAGATGGATCTAGGAAAAATAAGTCAGTATGAATTTAAGTATGGAGATGCCTAGCAAATGGAAGGCAATATTTTACTTCTCATTTGGAATAACAATCTTTTTATTTACTTAAGTTTTCTAAGACCAGGGCTAGCTACATCTCAAGGGCCCAAATTGTGTTTTAGGAACTTCTTTCAAAGGTTCCTCTTTTTTTTTTTTTTTAAATAGAGAAGTCCAAAGTTATGTGGCAGTTTACCAAACAAACCCCAAATGGAAGCTAAGCTACAAGGTACAATTTAAGTGTGAATTGTATATCAACAAAGTATCAATTACAAGCAGGGCCCTGGTGGTTCATGCCTGTAATCCTAGCTACTCAGGAGGCTAAGATCTGAGGATCCTGGTTCAAAGCCAGCCCGGGCAGAAAAGTCCGTGAGACTCTTATCTCCAATAAACCACTAGAAACCAGAAGTGGTGCTGTGGCTCAAGTGGCACAGAGCTAGCCTTGAGCTGAAGAGCTGAGGGACAGTGCCCAGGCCCAGAGTTCAAGCCCCATCCCATGACCGACCAAAAAAAAAAAATCAATTACATAAGAAACTTTCCAGTCAAGATGTAGCTTGGGGCAGGGTGGTGGTGGCGGGAGACCAATGGCGGGAGGAAGGATGAACAAATGCAGTAATTATTTTCAATGTACATTATATAAAGATTGAACTATGTAACTTGAGGGTATGGATGGGATTGGAAAGATGGGGGAAAATGATAGAAGGGGTGACATTGATCAAGATGCACTGTACTCATCACCTGACTTGTTGAATTGAAACCTCTTTGTACAACTACTTAAAATTTTTAAACAAAGAGAGATGCATCACAGGGTTAATGCGATATTGAGCTAACTTCTTTAGTTGCAGCCTGTAGTTCCCAGGAGCTGGCTTCTGCCTTCTTTATGAGCTGTGTGCTTCACATTTCCCTTCCCATTCATGACAACTTGGTTACACTTCTCTCATGCCACAATGTTCTGTAACCTTTACATAGTCCTTTTTCCCAGGGGTATCTTTTCCTCTCTACTTAGACAGTTCCTACAAATATCCTTAGAACCTCTGCTTATGTGTTCTCACCTTCCAAAAGTCTTCTCAACAGTCAGGCTGAGTTAGTCTGTTCTTATTCATAGCCTTCAACTCATTCTCCACTGTAAACTGTAGACAACTTTAAGGTGCACATTGTCTCTCATCTATATTGTGTGTATCTACCATTGGATACTAGAACATGGCCAGTTAGCTGAATGGTAAAAATGCTTGGTAAAACAGACTCACTGATTCTGTTTGTTGAGCAAATCTGATTGTGGTGTTTACATTAATTTTCAAATGAAGAATTATGGAAAACAAGTCATGGGGAGGTATGTGAGAGAATCAAGAGAAAGTAAAAGAGAAAAAAAGTCTTTAAGAAAAGCCTCATGAGCCAGGTGCTGGTGGCTCACATCTGTAATCCTAGCTCAGAAGGCTGATATCTGAGGATCACAGTTTGAAGGCAGCCCAGGCAAGAAAGTCCATGAAATATGTATCTCCAGTTTATCACCAAAGGGCCAGAAATGGAGCACAAAAGCCCAGGGACAGCACCCAGGCCCTGAGTTCAAGCCCCAGGACTAGCACAAAAGAAACAAAAGGAGACTCATGTTTTTTGGGGTTGTTTTTTGATGAGAAGAAAATACCAGTATTGGAAGGGTGATGAAATAGAAAACAGTAATTATGGATCACTGGCTAATGAAAGTTAAAACTTTTTTTATCACTTTGACAGAAAAAAAGCTAATGCTTTAAACTTTCATGTTGAGGACTCTCTGTCTCTCTTTTAGACTCCAACCCAACTTACAATGCAGTGGGTTGCATGAGAGCATCTGTCATCGTGAACTGAGTGAGCAGCAAGTCCTGGCTCCTTGGGAGGAGAGCAACTTGAGAATTTCAAGAATCCTTGGGTTTGTGAACCCCCTAGTGTCTATCCCATCTCAGGGCAAACTGAAGGAAACGTTCTTCAGACTACTAGTGTGTCTATAAGTAAAAGATTATAGTGCCCCACATCCACAAGTCAGCCAATGACAAATGCTGGAGGGGATATGGAGAAAGAGGAACCCTATTACACTGCTGGTGGGAATGTACACTTATACAACCACTTTGGAAAGCAGTCTGGAGGGTCCTCAGAAAGCTAAACGTTGACCTCCCTTACGACCCAGTCATACCACTTCTAGGCATCTACCCTGAACAACAGGAACCAGTATACAAGGGCACATGCACCTCCATGTTTATTGCAGCACTGTTCGCAATAGCCAGGATATGGAAACAACCCAGATGCCCCACCACAGATGAATGGATCCAAAAATTGTGGTATCTATACACAATGGAATATTATGCAGCCATTAGAAATGACAAAATAATGACATTTGCAGGGAAATGGATGGAGCTAGAAGAAATCATGTTGAGTGAGGTAAGCCAAGAGCAAAGAGACAAACGGTACATGGTCTCCCTGATAAGTGGATGTTAAATCCAAAATGTTAGGTGATACGACAAAATTAACAGGACTTAAGAAACAAAGGACTTTCACTCATCTGATCGAATCACTACTAATTAACCCCATGCTGCTGATCACATGTATGGTATATATGAGTACACCGGAGGGGAACCAAGAAGACAACACAGAACTAGAGGGAATCAGGGAAAAACATACAACAGTGGGACCCAATAGCTGCACAGGACATTGACCAAAATGAACTAAGCAACTTAATGGCGGTGATGGGAGGGGGGGAACAAATGGGAAAGAGGGAACAGCTGAAGCTATGCAAAACAAAAGGAATGTACATCCTACCCAATGTGGAAGAAATAACTGTATCAAAAAGCTTATAGAACTCATAAATGTTATAGACCGTGATAGACAATTTGCTCCAGGAAAGTTAGAATGTGTTTGTGACTTTAACTAACTGAGCATCACTATTCCACAATACTGTGAAATTTGGGAAATTATGTAATCACTTAATCACAATAATAATAAAAAAAGATAGGGAACTAATCCAGATGCCCCTCAGAAGATGAATGGATCAAGAAAATGTGGTATATATACACAATGGAATTCTATGCCTCCATCAGAAAGAATGATATTGCCCCATTTGTTAGGAAATGGAAAGCCTTGAAAAAAATATATTAAGTGAAGTAAGCCAGGCCCAAAGAAATATAGGTCCCATGGTTTCCCTTATTTGCAATAACTAGTATATGTCTGAGACAAACAGAAACTGTCAGACAAGTTGATGTTAGGTGAAATGAACCCCAAGATAAGGATTCAAATGTTTTTTTCTTTCTTGTGATTGTTTTCAACATATTTATAAGATGATTTCTTTGTTGCTTTGTATGTCCCTCCCCCAGGGTATAAGCCGTGTTTTCACTGTATTTGATGTTGATATAATTTGTGGAGGGGAAGGGAAAAAATAAACTGTTTAAATAGGGTTACAGGTGGACCCATTACAACAATGAGATGTACGAGACGTTATGTCGATAAACAAACTTTACAACTTTGGCGGGGTAGGGGGTGGTGTGAGTGGGGGTGGTTGTGGTAGGGGGGGTGTGGGTGGAGGGGTGGAGAGGGGAAAGGATGGTATGGGGAAGCAAAGGAGGAGGCAACAATGCTTGATAAGAAATGTACTCACTATCTTGCCCATGTAATTGTAACCCCTCTGTATGGTATTTTTACAATATTAAAAAAAACAAGAAATAAAAAAAATTATAGTGATTTATAAAACTTTTTTCTGGGCTAGAGTGCTTGCCTAGGTGGGAAGCCCTGCGTTCGATTCCTCAGTGCCATATACACAGAAAAAGCCAGAAGTGGTGCTGTGGCTCAAGTGGTAGAGTGTTGGCCTTGAGCAAAAGAAGCTCAGTGACAGTGCCCAGGCCTTTAGTTCAAGCCCCAGGACTAGCAAAAACAAAACAAAACACAAACAAACCAAAAAAACTGTGTTGGGGGAGAAAGTGAGAAGGAGAGAGAGAAGAAAGAGAGCAAATCAACCTATATTTTGAAATATAAAACATGGAGGGAGAAGGTGTGGCTCAAGTGGTAGAACACCTGTCTAGCAAGCACGAGGCCTTGAGTTCAAACCTCAGTACTCGCCTCTCACAAAACCCAAGAGCTACTGCAGATGCCTCAAGGAATACACACCATAATATACTTTTTTTTTTTTGGTCTGGTCGTGGGGCCTGAACTCTGGGCCTGGGCGCTGTCCCTCAGCTCTTCAGCTCAAGGCTAGTGCTCTATCACTTGGCCACAGTGCAACTTCCGCCTTTTTTCTTTTTTGCTTATGTGGTGCTGAGGAATCGAACCCAGGGCCTCATGCATGCAAGGCAAGCGCTCTACCACTGAGCCACCTTCCCAGTCCCATAATATACTTTTGTGTGTGGTGGTCCTGGGGCTTGAAATTAGGGTCTAGGTCTTTTCCCTGGGCTAGCACTCTACCATCTTGAGCACAGCTCCACTTCTGGCTTTTTGGGGGACTTGATCGGAGATAAGAGTGTTAAAGATTTTCCTGCCCAAGCAGGCTTCGAACTGTGATCCTCATAGGTCAGTCTCCTTAGTAACTAAGTTTACCGGTATGAGCCACTGGTGCCCGGCTTCAGACCACAATTTTGATACATCACCACTACCACCGCAATTATTTATCACTTCCATAACTACCACCACTATCACTATCATCTTCTTCACTAAGGAGCTTTTATTAAGAGCTGCTTTGATGCAATTCTGATGTGTGAGAATGAATAAACTGAGGTCACAGTATGTGCTGGAGGACGATGGTCAGGGTCCATGCAAGGGCCAGAATCCCCAGAATTTCTCTGCTTACAGAGTTTGTGATTGGCAAGGTTATGATTATGCCTTTTCCCTTACTTTTGCAATCTCTAGCAAAAAATAGTTCCCTCCAGCCAGCTTTGGCTCTGGCTCAGCCCTCCGTCTGTAACTTCCTGTTACAATGGCAGCTTTCTCATACAGGATTCATTGCTGTCTCCCCCAAATAAGCAACAAGGAAGACCACACACATTTCCCTGATAATCAAAGACTATTTTTAGGCGTGAGAGTTTCTATGTAATCATTCTTTCCCCTTTGTTTGAAGCAGAGGCAGCCATACTTTTGGGTAGAGGACAGAGACAAAGTTTTAGCTCATATGCATCTTTCTCCATGGGGAGAAAGAACTTGAAAGAGGCAGAATTAGCCTTAGCCCTCCACTTAAGGTACACATTGCAGGGCTTTCTCCAGACTGCTTCCCAGTGTGTGGTTGTGCAGACTGAGTTGTGCACACCTGTGGGAGCCAATATCCACCCCATGGTCATGGGGATTGTGCAATGTGTGATCTGCAGACACCACTGAACATTCCTTCAACTGTCCTTTGTAACCCAGCTAAGCTCAAGCCCTTGGTTGGAGTTGACATCTATGATATTTACACTTAGATCACATCATACTACGCTGCCCAGGAGTAGCTCATGAGAAGTCCACAGCTCTCAGGCTTTCTTTTTTTTTTTTTCCCCAGTCCTGGGGCCTGAACTCAGGGCTTGGGTGCTGTCCTTAGGTTTCTTTTGCTCAAGGCTAGCACTCTACCACTTGAGCCACAGCACCACTTCAGGATTTTTCTGTGTATGTGGTAGTGAGGGATCCAACCCAGGGCTTCATGAATGCTAGACAAGCCACATTCCCAGCCTCTCTCAGGCTTTTGAAGATGTGCATTCAGTACATCTGGGGGCGACATTGAGTGTCTCTGAAGGTCTAGATAGGAAATAATCTATGATATGGAGAAGTCATGGTGACTTAGGGGAAATCTTCCCTTTCAGAAGATGCTGACTGTTTGGCCCTTCTTCATGGCTGATATGTGAATGGACAGAAAGATTTATAGGCTAAAAAAATAATAAGGAATTTTACCTAAGAGTATGAAAGCTTGAAAACAATCCATTTTTCCCTTCTTAAGAACTCAAAACAGAGTGGATGCCTTGAGGTTTAAGCCCCTCAAGGGATTGGATGGTTCAGAGAATCTATAAATGCCATCCTGGAGAGAAGGTTGGTCTAGGATTAAAGCAACCATAAGGAAAACATTGTTCTTATCCAAGATGTTTATGGTGATGCAGGCCTGTGATGCTGATTCTGAGACAGAACATTTGACAAAGCAAGAGCATGAAACAGTTAATGTGTGCCACATGCTAGAAGCCCAGATTTGAACAGCAGATGCGGGGTGGCATTGGGGGGTTGGGGGGGGAAGGGGGAGACTCAGTGTGCTCAATCACTGACTGACAGACAAGCATGAGGCACCCAGTCTTCAGCTGTATCCCCATATGAAGGGTGGATTGGACCAGGGCAGGGAGTAGGGATTTTAGCCTAAAAGAGAGACAGGCTTTCACACAGCTCCTGATGAAGTTATTTTGCAATCTGTTAGAGTCACCTGGGGTGAGAACTAGTCTCATAGCGTTCCTTGTCAGTCAGAATAAAAACAATGTCATTTTAATGGTGGAAAAAAAGAGAGTGACAGATCTGAGACAGACAGTTTAGGGGAGAGATAATGAATGGCAAGAAGACTAGTGAAGTGGATCTTAAATGGAGAAAGGAATTGTTTCTTTTTCTCTCCTTCCTTCCTTCCTTTCTTTTTTTTTTTTTTTTTGCCAGTTGTGCAGCCTGAACTCTGGGCCTGGGCGCTGTCCCTCAGCTCTTCAGCTCAAGGCAAGTGCTCTACAACTTGAGCCACAGTGCCATTTCTGGCTTTTTCTGCTTATGTGGTGCTGAGGAATCGAACCCAGGGCCTCATGCATGCAAGGCAAGCACTCTACCACTGAGCCACCTTCCCAGCCCTTCCTTCCTTCCTTCCTTCCTTCCTTCCTTCCTTCCTTCCTTTCTTCCTTTCTTCCTTTCTTTCTTTCTTTCTTTCTTTCTTTCTTTCTTTCTTTCTTTCTTTCTTTCTTTCTTTCTTTCTTTCTTTCTTGTTGTGGGGCTTTAACTCTGGGCCTGGGCACTGTCCATCAGCTCTTCAGCTCAAGGCTAGCTCTCTGCCACTTGAGCCACAGCACCACTTCCAGTTTTCTGAATGGTTAATTGGAGATAGAGTCTCACAGACTTTCCTGCCCAGGCTGGTTTTGAACTGCAATCCTCAGATCTCATCGTCCTGAGTAGCTAGGATTATAGGAGTGAGCCACCAGCACCCAATGAGAAAGAAGTTTCCCCCAAAATGGAATTGTGTATGAGTACCTGCGTACATGCGAGAGACATTACCCATTGTTAGCTCCAACTCCTTTCATTTCTTTCTTCCTTTTTAATTCATTGTCTCCTTACCCATCATACATGTACCAGAGTGCAACCTCGTGGTCAGTTTACCTCTCAACGCTGAGTGCATACACAGCCACAGGCTTATTCAGAACTCAGGCAGAACCCACAATCTGGGATTCTGGGACCCAACAGTGGAGAGGGGGAGGGGGAAAGCCATAATTAGTGTTAATTGTTGACCCTACAGTTCAAGAGAATGGAAAAAAAAATGAGAACAAACATTAATTATTGAATAGGGACCTTGGAGACAGACACTGTGGATTAAAAGGAGAGAGATAAATTGCATAATGAATGTTAATTTTCCCTCTAAGAATTGAGTGGTCGGGTGGTTGAAAGGGAAAAAGGGTTAGAAGAGTTCTGAAAGAGAAATGTCCTTGTGTGGGGATGGGAGAGTGGAGATGCTTACAGAAACACTTTCCAGCCCTGCTGCCCCCCGCCCTTGGCCTCCTCACTCCCAATACTCTCAGGGTTTTTCCTCACAGCTCTTTATCTACCACAGTTGTCTATTCGGAAGTTCAACCATTTCCCTTACAGCTCATAAGCCAGAAACCAGCCATATTACATTTCCGACAAGCCAGGAGGCAGGATCCTGGCTTTTTTTTTTTTGGTGTTGATGAGAATGTGACTTGAAATGAGAGCGCTCTCACAAATGCAGCCATGGTGCTGCTGCACAGGCGCAAACGCCAGGACAGCCATTGTTTCTCAACTACAATACAAGAGCCACAAAGGACCACTCCCCCTTCAATTTTTTTTTTTCTTAACTGAAAGTAAAAACAGAATAACGGTCATTGTAACCAGTTTTGTTGCAACCAGTCTGGTTGCAGAGCTGGTTGGCAGCCCCACCTCCAGGCAGAGGGCCTGGGGACCTTCTATTTTCACACTGCTTCTGTCTGCCAGCGACCTTGTGCCCGTTGGCTGTTATCTGGGTGATTCTGCAGTAGCTGAGTCTTCTGCCGCTTCTCTCACCTGCTCCTTCATGCTGGCATGCACCTGGGGTTGCGCGATGTCTCTCCTGTAGCATCTGTGATTTTTGGTTACCTAAAAGGTAGCATTTCAGCTCTATCCTGGCACACAAGGCTTTACCTGCTCTAGCCTTTCAGTCCTGGCTCCACTCCACCGCCCCCCCCCCGCCGCCCTCCCCCCTTCCCTCCCACCATGAAGCCCTGTCACCCAGTCCACTCACACCTGGCCACTGCTCTTTTCTCACATGTCCTCTGTGTCCCCACCTCTTTGTCTTTATTCATGCAAGTCCCTCAACAGGCTGTGCTTCACCCCACTTCTGCTTCTCTACTTTTCAAAGGTCAGTGCAAATAGAGATTGCTGTGTGAAAGCCCTTCCCAGTCTCCTATGATAGAATTAATCACTTCTCAATTACAGACTCATTCCTATCATGTGGTAGACTTGTTCATGAATGGATTTTCCACATGGACTTGAGATCTCTGAGGCCTGCTGCTACAGGGCCTGGCTTAGATTCTTGGGCAGAAGGGGCTGGAGATAAAGAAAGCATAGGCCTGGAAAAAACCCCATCCATGCTCTTACCAGGTAAGTTAACCTCCCAGGTTCCATCCCAACAATCCTGTGAAGTATTTTCATACCCAGGTCAGGGCCAGAGAGTGTTATTTCAATGTTAACATCCTTCCTTATGCCTTGCAAATGCTACGTGTCAGGATAATGTATTGAAGTCATCAAATAGACATGTAATGGGCTTTCTCTCCTTGGTCCAGTGGTGTTTCACACTGAAATGTGTGTGTGTGTGTGTGCACACGCGTGCGCTCGTGCGCCAATTCTGGGGCTTGAACTCAGGGCCTGGGCACTGTCTCTGAGTTTCTTTTGCTCAAGGCTAGCACTCTACCACTTGAGCCATAGCACCACTTCTGGCCTTTTCTATTTATGTGGTACTGAGGAATTGAACTCAAGACTTCCATGCATGCTAGGCAAACACTCTATTACTAAGCCACATTCCCAGCCCTCACATTGAAATTATACTTAATACTTTACAAGATGGAGTACAAGCATAAACTGGCTTGATTTTCATTGGCAGCTATTATAGTTGTATTAGGTTAAGGTACAGGATAAACAGCTGTAACAAGGTGACCCCAAGTTAAACATTTAGATTTCTTTCACCAGAGGTGAATGGACTGATCAGAGTGGCTCTCTTCGATGAAGCTATCTGGGTACTTGGTTCTGTATGTCTTACTGCTCTATCATCCCCATAGTATAATCCTCCCCATACTTAAAGCACAATCAAATCCCAGGCCAGAGGGGGGGGGGTCAGTGAATAAGGAAATGAACTGGAAGTTGTCCACATTACTTCCATCCATATTTTGTTAGTCAAAACTTAGTCACGTAACAGTACTTAGCTACAAGGATACTGGGAAATAAAATATTTATCTAGATATTTATATGTTCAGTTTAAAGTTTATGATGAGAATTCTATTAATAAGAATTATAAAGGAGGGCTGGGAAGGTGGCTCAGTGATAGAGCGCTTGCCTTGCATGCATGAGGCCCTGGGTTCGATTCCTCAGCACCACATAAACAGAAGGAAAAAAAAAGCCGGAAGTAGCACTGTGGCTCAAGTTGTAGAGCACTGGCCTTGAACTGAAGAGCTGAGGGACAGTGCCTAGGCCCAGAGTTCAGGCCCCACAACCGGCAAAAAAAACCCCCCAAAAACCCCAAAAAAAGAATTATAAAGGGACAAGGAACAAGAGAGTAAATAGAAGTGTCTATGATCAAAGGACATTATGCAACAAAAACAAAAAAACAAGAAGTACATGTGATATATAAAATATATATAGGCAAAAAAAGTCATAAAGACTGCTTGGCTCATAGCTGTAATGCTAGCTACTCAAGAGGCTAAGATATAAGAATCAGCGTTCAAAGCCAGCTTAGGCAGCAAAGTCCATGAGACTGTTAGTGCCAATAAATGACACAAAAGCTGAAAGTGGCTGTGGATCAAGTGGTAGAGCACTAGTCTTGAGCAAAAGACGCTCAGGGATAGTGCTCAGATCCCAAGTTAAAACCCCAGGACTAGTACACTTTAAAAAAAACCTATAAAGGTTGGGCACTGATGGCTCACTGCTGTAATCCTAGCTACTCAGGAGACTGAGATCTGGAGCCAAAAAATCTGAGAGACTCCATCTCCAAAGCAACCAGCAAAAATATGGGCTGGGGAAGTATTGTTCAAGTGGCAGAGTGACAGCTGAACAAGAATGAGCCCTTGAATTCAAACTCCAGTACCATCAACACCCATGTCATAATGAAATCCACTATTTTATACAATTAATAAACACTCTGAAAGTGTTTTATTTTATTTTTATTTTTTTATTTTTTTGTCGGTCGTGGGGCTTGAACTCTGGTCCTGGGTGCTGTCCCTCAGCTGTTCAGCTCAAGGCGAGTGCTCTACCACTTGAGCTACAGCGCCACTTCCGGTTTTCTGATGGTTTATTGGAGATAGGAGTCTCACAGTCTTTCCTGCCCAGGCTGGCTTTGAACCGTGATCCTCAGATCTCAGCCTCCTGAGTAGCTAGGATTACAGGCATGAGCCACCAGCGCCCTGCTCTGAAAGTGTTTTAAGAAAGACGACTTTAA